AACGTGGATGGCAGAAGTTGCAAAATGATGGCAAATGGGTTACGGAGCCTGTATCACAAATTTCTGACAACAGCAGAGCCTTATTTTTGCCTGTAGCTAACAAGCCAGATAATAACTCCAACAGGTTACCAAAAAATAAAGCTGATGCCATCAAAGCCAATTGCATAATTCTTTTGCATATGGTTTTACCCTGAAAGATAATTTAAATACTATCTTAAATCTTGACCCCGATGAATCTGAGTGATTTTTACATACCACAGGTAATTAATTAAAACTTTCTAGGTTTTCACAATATTTTGTATAATTCTTGGAAAAAGAGATAGTGTCTCTGGAGACACATTGATGAGCAGCTTTTGCTGTTGAGCATTTCCAATAAGTTCACCAATCAATGTAGCAGCATTTAAATATGATCACCTTTTTTTCAAAGAAGAATATATAACCATAAAACGATGGAGTAAGAGAGCGAAAAAATGTGGCATTGAAAATAAGGGAGAAATGTAGTGGAATCTAGATGTGTTTGTAGGAATTGAGTACGAGTTTTTAAAAGAAAGCAACACAGATCATTAGTGCTGGCTCCACGGTTCCAGATACAGGCACAGCTAACACACACAGCTATCTGGGGAAAATCTCAGGTTTCTGTCTTAGAGCTCTTCTGGGAAATAAATGATGAGGTCTTAATGATAAAATCCTGAGAGATTCTGGATGCTCTGCTGAGCATAAAAGCTTCAAGTTTCAGAGATAAAAAAAAAATATCTAGCATATAAAAAACAAACAGCTACAAGTGCACATATAACTGAATTATGAAATGTTAGAGCTGGGAGGAAGCTTAGAGATCCTCTTCTCCAATCCCTCATAGGTTGTGATAGGTCACTAAGGTTGCAAAGCTAGTAGCAGAACAGGGGCCAGAACCTAGGTGTCCTGACTTTTAAACCAGGACTCTTTCCACTCCTCTAGATGATTTAATCACCAGCAAAATCTGGATCTTTCATTATATGGGCAGTAACTGACAGTTTAAGATAATGGAATAATCAGCTGCCAAAATTCATCATTTATCAACCGTGCCCAGGGATTTTCTTAAAAACCATGTTTTTATTCTCCCCTACAGACCACTCTTGAGAATAGTCTCTTACCTGAGTTTTGTCGTCAAGATGCTGTATTTTGGGCTGCGTCAGACTGAACCTGATTTATAGGTGATCATTTAGTAACAGTATGCAAAGTAGCTTACAGTTAAACAGAACTGCTTGGTTCTGGTTTGGCTATTTTTTCTACCTAATATGTAGATATGACAACACATAATCCTAAATAGAAAGGTTTGCTTACAAAACTAGGTACTTGTAACAAATTCTTTTCTTTAAAGAATGCTTCCCACCATTCATCTGGGTTATATGATATTATATCGAAATTATTTATGGGAAATATCTGTAAGTAATCATTTCATAATGTGCCAATATTGGTCAAGATTCTTTATTAATAGATAGAGATTAAGGCCAGAACTAGGACGGTCAATATGAACTTACATCTTTTTTTTTAATACCTATTCTCTTTTTTCCTCTTAAGTAGACTTTATTTTTTAAAGCGGTTTTTGATTCACAGCAAAATGGAACAGAAAGTACAGAGAGTTCCCTTATACTCCCTGTCCCCATACATGCACAGTATTAACACCCCACACCATAGTGTCACCTTTGTTAGAACTGATGAACCCACATTGACATCATTATCACCCAAAGTCCATTGTTTACATTAGGTTCACTCTTGGTAGTATACATTTACATTTTATGGGTTTTGACAAATATATGACACGTATCCACCATTGTAGTATCATACAGAATAGTTTCACTGCCCTAAACATTCTCTGTGGTCTGACTATTCACCCCTCTCGCCTCCCTAACCCCTAGCAACCACTGTTCCTTTTGCTGTCTCCACGGTTTTGGTTTTTCTAGAATGTCACATAGTTGGAATTATACCATATCTAGCCTTTTCATATTGGCTGTTTTCACTTAGTAATATGCATTTGAGCTTCTTCCATGTCTTTTTGTGGCTTGAAAGCTCATTTTTTTTGGGGGGGGGAGCTGAATGATATTCCATTGTCTGAATATACCACAATTTATTTATCCCTTCATCTACTGAAGGACATCTTGCTTGTTTCCAACTTTCGGCAATTATGAATAAAGCTGCTATAAACATCTGTGTGCAGGTTTTTTATGGACATAAGATTTGTTTGGGTAATTATTTTACTAAACAGTGTGATTGCTGGATCATATATTTAGTTTTGTAAGAAACTGTCAAACTCTCTTCCAAAGTTGCTGTATCATTTTGCATTCCCATCAGCAATAAATGAAAGTTCCTGTTGCTTCATATCCTCCAGAGCATTTGTTGTTGTGTTCTGATTTTGGCCATGCTAATAGGTGTGTAGTGGTATCTTGTTGTAATTTGCATTTCCCTGACGATATGAGGTGGAGCATCTTTTCATATGCTTATTTGACATCTGTGTATCTTCTTTACGTTTTTTTTTTTTACCTTTTTTTTTTTATTTCAGCATATTATGGGGGTACAGATGTTTAGGTTACGTATGTTGCCCTTGTCCCCGCCCCCCCATGTATTTTCTTTAGTGAGGTGTCTGTTAAGGACTTCTGCCCGTTTTTTAAATCAAATTTTTTGTTTTCTTATTGAGTTTTAAGTTTTCTTTGTGTATTTTGGATAATAGCCCTTTATCAGATATGTCTTTTGCAAATATTTTCTCCTGATCTGTGGCTTGTCTTTTCAAGCTCTTGACAGCGTCTTTCATAGAAGTTTTAAATTTGAATAAAGTCTGTCTTATCAATTATTTCTTTCAAGGATCATAACTTTGGTGTTCTATCCAGAAAGTCATCACCATCTAGATTTCCTTTTCTAGAAGTTTTATAGTTTTTCATTTTACATGTAGGCTTATGATCCATTTTCAGTTAATCTTTGTGAAGAGTGTAAGGTCTGTGTCTAGATTCATTTTTTTTGCATGTGGATGTCCAGTTGTTCTAGCACCATTTGTTCAAAAGACTATCTTTTCTCTATTGTATTGCTTTTGCTCCTTTGTCAAAGATCAGATAACTATATTTATGTAGGTCTATATCTGGGCTCTATTGTGTTCCATTGATCTATTTGTCTTTTTTTTTTTGGTCTTGATGACTATAGCTTTATAGTAAATCTCAAAGTTGGGTAGTGTCGGTTTTCTGACTTTGTTGTTCTCCTTTAATATTGTGTTAGCTGGGTCTGGGTCTTTTGCCTTTCTGTATAAACTTTAGAATAAGTTTGTTAATATCTACAAAATAACTTTCTGGGATTTTACTGGGATCGCACTGAATCTGTAGATGAATTTGGAAAGAACTGACACCTTGATAATATTGAGCCTTCCTATCCACAAACATGGAATACCTCTTATTTAGTTCTTTGATTTTTTTAAACCAGAGTTTTGAAGTTTTTCTTTATACAGATCTTATACATATTTTGTTAGATTTATACGTATTTCATTTTGGGGGTGCTAATGTAAATGGTATTGTTTTTAATTTCAAATTCCAGTGCTGATATATAGGAAAGTGATTGACTTTTGTGTATTCAACTTGTATCCTGCAACCTTGCTATAATCACTTATTATTATAGTTCCAGTTCTGTTGTTGGTATTTTTGGGTTTTCTACAGACAACCATGTCATCTGTAAGCAAAGACAGTTTTTTCTTCCTTCCCAATCTGTATACCTGTTATTTCCTTTTCTTGTCTTAGAGCATTAGCTAGGACTTCCAGCACACTGTTGAAATGGAGTGGTGAGAGAAGATATTCTTGCCTTATTTCTGATCTTAGTGAGTAAGCTTCTAGTTTTTCATCATTAAGTATGATGTTAGAGGTAGATTTTTTGTAGATGTTCTTTATCAAGTTGAGGAAGTTCCATTCTATTCCTAGTTTGCTGAGTTTTTATCATGAATAGGGTTGAATTTTGTCAAATGCTTTTTCTGTATCTATTTTTCTTCTTTACATGTGATGGATTTTATATATATACATATTTTTTTTTTGAGACAGTCCTGCTCTTTCACCCTGGCTAGAGTGCAGTGGCATCATTGTAGCTCACTGCATCCTCAAACTCCTGGGCTCAAGTGATCCTCCTGCCTCAACCTCTGAAGTAGCTGGGACTACAGGTACACACCATGATGCTTGGCTAATTTTTCTATTTTTCTTTTTTTTTTTTTTTTTGAGACAGAGTCTCAGCTCTTTTGCCCGGGCTACAGTGAGTGCCGTGGCGTCAGCCTAGCTCACAGCAACCTCAAACTCCTGGGCTCAAGCAATCCTTCTGCCTCAGCCTCCCGAGTAGCTGGGACTACAGGCATGCGCCACCATGCCCGGCTAATTTTTTCTATATATTTTTAGTTGTCTGATTAATTTCTTTCTATTTTTAGTAGAGACGGGGTCTCACTCTTGCTCAGGCTGGTTTTGAACTCCTGAGCTCAAGCAATCCGCCCGCCTCGGCCTCCCAGAGTAATTTTTCTATTTTTAGTAGAGGTGGGGTCTTGCTCTTGCTTAGGCTGGTCTGGAACTCCTGAGCTCGAGTGATCCTTCCCTTCAGCCTCCTGGAGTGATAGGATTACAGGTGTGAGCCACCTCGCCCAGCCGATGGATTATATTATTTTTGAATGTTAAACCATCCTTGTTGGGATAAATCCTACTTGGTCATGGTTGAACCTAAATCTTTTAATATTAACAATAAAATCAATAATTTTAGGTTAGATTTGTGAGTGCTAACCAAACCCCTCTACTCCCCAAAAACCCAACAGCTCCTAAAACTTTACCCTTATGAATTTAATATAATTTAATTCTAATATAATTTTTGCCAAGAATTTCTTAGAACAAGCACTCATTCAGGAATTTTAAATCTCTCAATTTAACAAAATATTTGTCTATCTCTCTGCACATGCAAACATAGATAATTTAATACCCATGTTTCATGATTAGATTGGTATAAAACAGTAGTCTCACAAGAGGGTTCAAAATGTATCTTCGAGCTCATCGTACAGCAAAAGTGAGAGGAGAAAAAGGCTGGGAAACATAGATACACTAATAGATGTTTCAAAAATTATTTTTATTGTTACATTCCAAAGAAGACATAGGAAGGAAAAGGCCAGTTATCCAATAACTGTTATACCTTTCAGAGAGAGGCACCCAGAACCCTAGTCCTAGTTCAAAGCTGCACACACAAGAGTTCAAACAGCTGCCTCTCAACATGACCGACCGGAAATGCTGACAAATATGTGTATATTATCAATCCAGGGAGGCTTGGGTTTAAAAGAAAATTTCCTTATTGCCAGTGTCCAAGTCCATAGGATTTGTCCTTGAAGATACTAGAAGATGAGAAAGACCACACACACCAAGACTATGTTTAGTCATTAGAGTAAACTAGCAAATGGCCAGTTTGTTCTAGGATGCGTTGCATCAGACATCACAGTACATGAAGAAAATCTGCATTTGTTAGGAGCCATCAGGCATTTCAGATCCAGTTTACCATGAAGTGCAGCCACGGGCCAACCAGATACCTAGACAATATAGTCAGTGCAAAAGTCAAATGGGTAGTCAGCACTTTGATGAGGCTGGCTATATTGCAGAAGATAAAACAAAACTTGAAAATAGAGTAAGGTCTATTTACAAATGTTTGTTTAGTAAAGTGACTTGAAAAAAGTTGTTAAGCACTTCCCAGGAATCCCTCCCCTCTCCCACCGAAAAACAAAAACACCTGAAAATTATCTTGAAAATCAAGTTAAAACTGTGGTGAAAAAGAGAGTGCTTGTTCCAGGTAAAGGACTTCAAGATAATTTACAGGCAGATTTATTTTTACTAGTAAAAGTCACAAATAGGAAAAGGTTTACTGGCTGACTTTGAGATGTGTGCTTTTAAAAATGTCTCTATTAATATGTTAACAAGAAAAAAACATCAAGCATGTTTTTGCTTCCAGTTTTGAATCTTCCAGTTTGAAATCAACAGGGTATTAAAATAAAATCCAGGAAAACTCAAGTCAATTTTTTCCAGTTGTCTGCCTTGTTTCTTTCTAGCCACCTTGAATTTGATCCCCAATTAGCTGAGGACAACATGTCGGTCAAAGACAGATTTTCGCTGCTCTTGAACTTGAAGCTTCCAGCGCTGCTGGGCATATTCTACCTTGTTTAGTACATTGGCTCGACTGCGGGAGCGGGCCAGCACATCATGGGCATTTGCAAAAGGCTGGTGATCCTAAAAGTCCAGGAATGAAGAACATCAGAGATGGCATGGTTAGCATAAAACACACAACACAAAATAGCAGTTAGTTTACGACAGAGACAGGAGCAGGTAGACTTTTCAAACAGAGCATCTATTTGGCTAAGCACTCCTGGGCACTGAACTATCGAAAGTAGAATGAACTCAACTATCAGAAGTAGGTGGTTCAGGAAATAGCAATGAAGGGGTATTTCCATGGGTCACCATTTCCCTTAAGAAGCAGAGACCAAGCCAAAGACAGTGGTTATTTGTGTTAAACAGAAGTCTTCCCTGACTAGTAGGGAAAAGAAAATCTATTTTCATGTTATTATCTCCATGTTTTAGATATGGAAAGCAGGGCCTTTCCTTCCTTTATTCAACACTACATAGCTAATCTGTGGCAAAGGAAAGATCTGTCTTTTAATTTCCTGACTCCATTATATTAGAATTGTTTATTTGCCAGGTTGGAGCCACGTTCACTCTGGGAGATGAGTTGACAAGGTCTTATCTTCGTTTGTTTTCATCTTTCCCTATACCCTCAACACATACACAAAATGGGCTAATTTCCAAAAGTTTTCTCATTCCTCCCCTTTCCCAATCTGTAAAGAAAACAGACACAGCTCAAGTGCTAAAATTACCCTCTATTACCAAGGACAGTAAGGAATTATTTACTTCAGCATTTCTAGTGGACAAAGACTTGAATCTTTCATTTCTGAGCACCCAGAGGCCTCCATGCAAGTTGCTGCATTAGGAAAGAGGCTATTGAAAGGTTACCCAGGTATCTGTGTAGGAAACCAACCTACCCTGGTTAAAGTAAACCAATGCAACTGGATGTTTGTAGTCATTACACAGGAAACCACCATGCTAATCTATCTATGAATGAGATATAAACACAGCTGCCTAAACGACAAAAAGCATTCAATAGTAATTTATTGCTTTTGTTTGCCTTTTCCTTGATCTCTTTTTCCTGAAACCCAGGTTAGCAAAACTTCCAAATGTTCCAACATAAGATCCAAGTCACAAGTCTTACCTCTTAAATAAACTAAGCTTTGCCTCTAGGAAAGAAAATTGTTTTGCTGTGCATGTTTGAAAAAGCTCCATTATATAATCCAGGGCAAGAGTCTACATGTGCATGGAAATCTATACATAACTACATAACTCTATACACAACTATAACAATATACTGTTATAAAACCTGCTGTTTTTCTACAGCAAAACATTTGCACAATGTTTACATTTGAAAGATATCAAAGAGTTTTCTATAAAGAATCTTTCCTTGCCTTCTTTACCAAGATTCCCTCAACTTTTCAGTTAATTTAGGTAATGGCTTGTGTAAAAGTCATTTATTTTTAAATTTTTTTTTTTTTTTTGAGGTACAGGGTCTTGCTATGTTGCTCAGGCTGGAGTGCAGTGGCTATTCACAGGCACGATCACTGTGCACTATAGCCCTGAATTCGTGGGCTCAAGCAATTCTCCTGCCTCAGCCTCCCAAGTAGCTGGGACTACAGGCTACTTTAAAATTTTTAACCTTACAAATGAAAATGAAAAAGACAATTCCATGAAGTTCAAAATGTTTCAAAGATGTAAGGAAGAAGGTAAGTGAAGAGGAAGGCTAAAGTTGTAGGACTGATTTCCCACAAGGAAATAAACTGACCCAAGGTCATTCAACAAATTAGCATAAACCCAAAAACTTAGCTTAATAACCTTGACTTAGTGTTGTATCTTCTCAAAACACAGATTTTGGTCAGGAAGATTAAAATGACACTATAGGAATATGGTGCTTCAATGACATTGTATATAAAATATCTCCTGAGTCAAGCATCAGAGGGGGAAAAAATATCACCATTGGTTTGTTTTGACATAAACAACACTGGGAAGTAGGATGTAGTTTATCAGTAGAGCACCTCTCAGTTTCATAGTCCTGTTATCTACTCTTCAAGGTGGGAGAGAAAAATCTTCTTAAGGGACAAATTCAAAAGACTAAACAAGCCAGTTAATCCTTTGGGTCTGTTCTCCACCTATCAGAACAAGAATGAACTAGCTGCACATGGTCATGGATGCTGGGAGAATGCAAATAGAGATTTACCCTTTTTATATGTTTGTTCTTTTTACACCTGATAAAATTACAATAAATACAAAACATGTTTTAATGTAATGCTTTGATAATAATGATAATGTGCCATGGATACATGATACAGTAAATATTGTGACTTCTTGCAGTGAGCTTCTTAACTATTTGTACTAACTTATTTGCTTTAAAAGGCTCTACACAGAGCAAATATGGAAAAAATGAAAACTGAGAATTTAACAAAAGCATGTTTTAAAGTACATAAATAGTAAATAACCTACATCTTGGATAAGCAATAACTGCAGGAATTTAAATTTAACTTCTTTTTGTACAGAGTTGTTACCATAAATTTACAGCTCTGATCAGAAAAACACTCTCTACCCAGAATCTGTTTAACAGATATCCAAGAGTCAGAAGAGTGAGCCAGGCCTCTCAGAGACAATGTTCTCAAATGGTCAACATATAGGCAGAAACAATCACTGGTGGACAAGAAGGTTAACGAACATGTGACCTCATCAGTCAAATGCCTGCCCTACATGTTTCTGTCTACACATTTGTGCATCCATTTCTTTCATGTTCTGTGTGTATTATATTATCTATTTCTAAAATCAGGAACAGATATTAATGCTGTAAAGCAGTGGTCCCCAACCTTTTGGGCACCAGGGACTGGTTTCATGGAAGACAATTTTTCCACAGACCAGGGGTGGGTTGGGGTGGGGGTGTGGTGGTGCGGAGCTCAGGTGGTGATGCATGGACCATTTCCTAACAGGCCACAGACCGGTACTGGGCCATGGCCTGGGGGGTTGGGGACCACAGCTGTGAAGGATGTAGTTTAAGGAAAACTTTCAACCTCTGTGACTATAATGAAAATGGTTTACGTGGCCTTTGATACATAACATTCTCATATGTCATTATTTCTCAAGTGGGGGTGATTTTGCTCCCCCAGGGACATTTGGCAATGTTTGTGGACATTTCTGATTGCTATAATTGGGATGGAGGGGTGCTATTGGCATCCAGTGGATGGAAGTCAGGGATGCTATTAAATATCTTATAATGAACAGTACAGCCACCGCCCCCCAATAACAAAGCATAATTTGACCCAAAATGTCTATCGTGTCAAGGTTGAGAAACTCTGAATATGTGAATGAAAGTGAACATGGAAACAGTATTTGAGACTCTAATGCTCCTGGTATACAACTTCCCTTCCTTCCAGCTCTCTCACCCATTAGCCCTACCATGCCTGCTTTTTGACTGCACCAAAACTCTAGTCTTAACTTTCTCCCACCCTATCAATCCCCTCCTGGAATTCTTTAAAATACGTGTTTCTTACATGATTAAAAATAAAAGGGGGTAAAACATTAGTCATTTCTTTTACATATCTGTTTCTGTTTTATTTATCTCTTTATTCCTAGTACCCAGCATAGTACCTGGTATACAAGTTAATTCATTATATGTTGTTGGGGTTAATAAAAGTGGCAAGGGAAAAAGAGGCAGAGGTGTTCTTATGAAAGTTCTTGACTAAAAAAATTCAATCTTGACCAAATGAGTGTTTGTCACTGATATTCATGAGACAACAGTGTGTTGACCAAAAAGCAGCCTCTGTTTGTTATACCTCAAGCCATCCAGTCAGAATGATCCCTTTTCCCATCTTTTACTAACAGGTCCACAAGCTATTCCAGAGTAAAAGGACTTTTGAGTGTGACTGGCAAGGGCTCACTCCAAATTTGACTTTTGGAATTCTTGAAACTAGAGTGAATTTTATCCACTTTAAGGAACACAGTCTAATAAAATAATCCAAAGGAAAAATTTCTAAAAAAAATTATATATAATAATGAAGTAGTAGAAAATTGAGAAACAATCCCAAATAAGATAATGGTAAAACAAACAATATAATTCTCTAAGCTATACTGAATAACAAGTTTGTGGACTATGTCAATTTCTGGACATTTTTTAATGAAGTAGTGTTAAAAATAAAAAGGAGACCATGAGACAATTTATACACTAATTATACCCACTGTATATACAAATATAAATGTGTTTTAAAGATAGGAAGAGAATCTAGAATGATAGTTTCATTTTTCTCTAGAGTTAAAGATCACAGATTTTTTTTTTAAGCAATAGAAAAAAGGAAATATAAAGCGTTAGCAGGTTATCAAGTTGTATTTCACTAAGAAAAGAATATCATGGTCTTCATGCTTCCCTTCATTGAAACCACTCTGCCTTCTAAAATATTTGGTGACACTGATAGGAACGGTGTTTCAGGCAGGAGCTTGAGAAGAAACTATCTCAGATGCTTTTTCTCAATGTAAACATGGGAAGTCAGTGAAAATTGTGCCTTTGGTGCCGAAAGCAAGGCCTTGTGTAGCACACTTACCAAGAATCATCAGTTTAAAACACCACATTTATGGCCTTATAATATAGAGCAATTTCCTCAAAGAAATATACTAAAATTAGAACTGTCTTTAGCTTCTCTAGCTGAGGATCTGCTCCAGCAAGCGAATTTCTATGTGTGACTATTTTTCACCTGCACTTTACATCAGATGATGACAGAGACTGGCCATGCACAGCTAGGACAGGTGGCGAACTTACCCCAACATCGTCATCACTCTGTATCAACTGTGAGTGTCCAAAGAGGCGCCTCTTCAGTATGGGCTCAACCAGAGTAAGATATACCATGTATAGAAGTAGAAGGCCCAAAATAGAGAGATAAATTATAATGGTAACCTAAAGGAAATTGAAAATAAGTTACATCTCTCAGTATCAATCTGTGGTGTTTTGCAGAAAAAAAAAGAAAAGAAAAGAAGTTATATCTCTGCTCAAGAAGTTAAATCTCAAGAAATAAGAATTTTGTATATTGATAGTAAAGCAGACTGATTATCTGCTAAGCCTATATGATTTCTATACAAACCAGATACTAATATAAGAAACTCTTCACCAAAGTACTAAAGAAAAAGAGGAAAGGAAGCATTTTGTCTTTAGGATCCATTTTGAGAGTCTTCAAAGCTCCATCTTCACCTACTGCTAATGACTTGTCACCAAGGCTAGCACAGCAGATTTCTTTTTTCAACAGAACACAGTGTCCTAGATTCAGCAGCACTGCTGCCAAAACAAGTTAAAGGAACCCCAACAGAAAATGTAATTCAGGTGAATTTCAACAGAATACTCTTTTAGATCAATTTAGATATACAAAAATACTTTCTAAGCCAGAGATTTTCTTGGGATCTTAATTCATGAGCTGACAAAAAGTACAGTGTGACATACCCACTAGAATGGCCATAAAATAAATAGACAATACCAAGTGTTGGCAAAGGTATGGAGAGACTGAGCCCTTATATACACTGCTGGTGGGAATGTAAAATGGTATAACCACTTTGGAAAACAATCTGACAGTCTCTTAAAAAGTTAAACATAAACTTATCACTCTAAGAAATTTACCCAAGAGAAAGGAAAACATATATCCACACAAAGACATGTACACAGATATTCATGATAGTATTATTCATCATAGTAAAAATTTGGAAATAATCCAAGTGTCTATCAATTGATGAATGGATATTCACAGAATGGAATGCTATTCAGGAATAAAAAGGAATGACATACTGATACATGCTACAACTTGGGTAAATATTATGCTAAGTGAAAGAAGCCAGTCACAGAAGACCACATTGTCATACCACATATATAATCCATTTATATGAAATGTCTAGATATGTAGAGACAGAAGCAGAATAGTGATTGTTGGGGGGTAGGGGTGGGAATGAGGATTAACTGTAAATGGGCATGAGGGATCTTTTTGGGGTGATGGGAATGTTTTAAAACTGGATTTTAAAAAGTTTTGAATTTGCTAAAATTTATAAAATTATACACTTATAATGAGTGACTTTTAGGGAATATAAATTATACATCAAAAAATATGTTAGAAAAATAGTACAGTGAGGATTTCTCTACAGTATATAGCACTCTGTTGGAGCAGGAGCTCTCCCACAGGGTCAATCACAGCAGAAATCTTTGTGATTATTATTACTGACCACCACAGATTCCCCACAAGGCCTTTTTTCCTTTTGGGATAGGGATCTAAATTTTTGTTTTGTCTAGAGACCATGCAAAAGCAGAAAAGAGATACACAGACACACACATATATATTGTTTACCTTGATTGTGACGGAGCTTCTTTCCTCATATTTGCATTCACAGCGTAGACAATATGCTTCTACGTCAGGCCCCCGCACAGGCATGGGATCCACAACATGAAGGCAATCGCTGAAAAAACAAAGATAAAATACTGCTTAAACCTGGCTGTGTGTTCTACTTGCCAAGGATCAAAACTTTCCTGAAATCCAGATTAATCACTGAACTTACCCAATGAAAGAATATAAGGAACAAATAATCAATAAGGCAAAGTGAAATAATTTCCTCTCTCAGTATTAACATTTCAGTAAGATTTAACCATCTAAGAAGCCATAAAGATATGTACATAGTAGTTGTCTATCTTTAAAGTTAAAATACTGTTAACAGTTACAAAAATACACCTGAAAAATCCCAAATGGGGTAGAAAACTACTTAACAAATCAAGTCATACTGTTCAGTTACCAAGCAAAACTACTTTAAATGGTTTAAAGTGAGATGGGGCATTGTTCACATATAAGATTGTCTCAGGCTGGGTGCAATGGCTCATGCCTGTAATCCCAGCACAACAAGAGATCAAGGCAGGAGAATTGCTTGAGGCCAGGAGTTTGAGACTCCTATGGGCAACATAGCAAGACCTATCGCTACCAAAAAAAAAAAAAAAAAGAAAAAGAAAAAATTAGCCACGGCATCCACCTATAGTCCTATCTACTTAGGAGGCTGAGGCAGGAAGATTGTTTGAGCCCAGGAGTTCGAGGTTACAGTGAGCTATGGTTGGGCCACTGCACTCCTCCAGCCTGGGCAGATAGAGCGAGACTCTGTCTCTTAAAAAAAAAAAAACTATCAAAAATATCTTTTCCTAGAAATCTATCAATTCCAAAAAATAACTAAATTGTTGCTCTCCTGAGCTATTAAGAGTCTACTACTCTGATTGTCTTCAGCAAAAGTAGGCAAAAGCTTTCCGGCCCTCCTGCCAGCTGCATGGCAATTCTCTTCCCTGTAGGCATGTCCTCCTTAGGCATTTCTGGCTGCCCCAAGCATTCCACTACAGCATCCTATCTTATTTCACTCATTCTTCTTGGGACCACCCAATACTCTAGGACCCATTCCTTCTCTTTCCCTATCAAAATGTACTTTGTCATGTTCTGTTGCCTCTGAACTGTGGCATTGGAAAGAAAATCCAAAATGGTATTAATATAAATTATAAAAGTTCAGTTAGTCATCCTTAACAGGTAATTTCATTTTAACAAAGGTAGTAATGAAAAATTAAATCTCCACTGATAGAATTTCAAATAAGGGTAAGGTCCTTCAACTTACACCATAAAAGTGTGAGGCCTGCTCTAAACAAATAGAAGGCAAGGCATGTATCTAACTGGCTTCAGGCATAAAATGGGCAGAGGAAACTAAATCCCAAAACAGGGGCTATCTATCTCAGAATTAAAGAAGTCATTCAGCCCAACACTTACAGAATTCACCTGCACAAGGTCACAGGGTAAATTAGTAGCTGAAAAAGGACCAGAATCCAGGACTCCTGCCTCCTAGGTCAGCCCTTCGTCTCTCTGAACCTCAGGAAAGTGAGACTTATCTCCTTTTCAGCTTCCTATTTCAGCTTTGGAAGCCTCAGCAACAATACCTAAGAATTACTTGGGAATCTAAGTGCTGAGTAAGTATTGACTGTTTCTTTTGAAGGACAAACAAAAAGGAATAGAGTGCTGTGCAAAAGTCATGCAGGGCTACAAGGAAGCAGGAAGGTTGCTTCAGGCTGATCAGCAATTATCAACAAAACTAGACCTATACAGAGCTCAACCACTTTAGGAACTAGACAACACCTCCCCCTAGTGCCAAAAGGAAGACATTAACTTTATATCCCCAACACAAACCAGAGTACTATAACTTTTCTTAAGTTTTAAGTCAGCCAGCATAAGTCAATGAAGAATGAAAGCTAACAACTGGACAAAATGAGAGGCCTAGAAAACAGAAGGTAAAAATATATCTAGGGCCTCACAGGTATTGGAAGCCTCACAAAGCCATAACAACCTGGTTGATCATAACTTGCCTGCCCTTCTAAAGCCAATTAAAATTTTTCGGTGCCAATTGGGAACCTACCCCCAGTAAAAAGCTAAGCTGCAGGAAGGAAGCAAGGGAGAATGGGAGGAAAGGAAGAAAAATCCTAAACAAGTCTTGTTTTCAACTGCTTATTTTCAAAGCTTCCTACGTTGACCAATAACCAGGGATGAATGACATAGGGTTCTAAGTCTTGAAATAACAAAAAGTTAGTGAAAACATTAGCACTAAACACTTGAATAGTGAGTTCATTTGCCACTCAAATGACATGCATTTCATTCTACTACTGATATATCTACACTGGTATATGTCTGTAATCCCTGTTACTCTGTTACTAGGGAGGCTGAGGCAGGAGGATTGCTTAAACCCAGGAACTTGAGACTAGCCTGGACAATACCGTGATATCCCATCTCAACAAAAAAAAAGATTTATTTGCACTTTCTTGCATCATATAAAGTAACTTCCTGATATAAAACCTATAAGAATATAGCCAAATCACTTGGGAATAAGAAACTATTTAAAGTAGAACATGGAATTTTACAAAAAGTTCTCAAGAACACATTTACCAAATATTAGGCTGAACCTAAATGCATATCATGGGAAGAATGGACAACGGCATCAGAGAAAGTAACCACACTCAAAGACTGCCTTTTCTTTTTCAAAGTCAGGTTGGAATATCTTTAACTAAATGAATTTAATCTTGCTTTCAAACCCTTTGCTGGCTATTTAGTTGTGAAATCAGGTACATGTGAAAGTTCCTAGCTATTTTTCTTGTATTCCTATCCCATCAATCTTCCACTGTGATTACAAACCATAAAACATCATAATTCCATGAGAGGGAGCACATTAGTCCCAACATAACACAACTGCTTCCCACCTATTTCATGACACATGTAGAAAAAGCTATCATTTCCAAGGTCTGCTGGGATAAACAGAGAAGGCTGCTGGTGGCTAGTCAGTCAGGATCCCATTCATCACAGGCCTGCTTGACTGCCCCAGGGCTGAAGGGATCACCAACTTGGCATGCCTACAACTTATTCACGTACACCAAATGAGACTTTTAGACATAGCCTCCCATACTTGGCAATGTTATCGCCAAAACCTGCAAGTTGTAAAAATTATAACCCAGATAAAGGTGGCTTGCTTACCTTCCACTGAAAAACAGGAGGGAGAAAGATCCCTCACCAAAACTTAAGGGTGCACAGGAAGGTAGCCATGGTAGTTTAGGTGCCACACACCCTGTCCCATCCCCCCATGAAACCCTGCCTACCTGGGCTGAGTGTTTTGGCTATACTCCTTTAGGCTTACATCATGCACTCAGGGACTTACTCTCACTCTTTCAAATGGAAATACAATTTGACACTTTTGTTCAAAAAGAAATACATAAAAAGAAAAGTATACATTGGATGAACATTCTGAACTAACAGTGACAACCATAGAAAGAAATCTGATAGGAAATTCAATAATCCAGAATACTTACCAATCTTTCTGGGATATGTTCTTATTATAAATATGCCCAGAATTTTCCTTATAGGGAGGACAGATACATTTACATCGGACATCCTCGAAATTCTGTAACCAAAAGGGAAACTTAGTATAGCTTGTTGACAGTTTAGCATCAATATTTTTAAAAACTGCACCATACATATTTTGCTAAGCAGCCCCTGCCAAATATCCTGAAACCATTCATTTAAAACTTTAACTTCGAGAGATAAAAGTTTTTAAAAGCAGTAAGTCCTTTATGGTAATGCTAATGAATCAGTATATATTACACAAAATTATTTTAAAATAATGCCTAATACACAATCTGACTTATTAACCACATTTATGGGTTACATGACAATCAAATTATGCTAATATTATCACTATGCACCTGTCAATATGAAGACACATAGTAAACAGATAGTTGTGCCTATAAATAAGAATGCTGATTATGATTACAGAAGGCTGGGGAAGAATCAAACTAAAAAACATTCACAAAAAAAGTCACGATTCTTCTACCTATTATTCTTTCACCCTTTGGTAGAATTTGCTGACATGGATAAAAGGAGTTGGGCCACAGTCCTGCAGAAGGGTTGAAGTTTTAGAGGCACCCAGCTAAAACTAGAAAGGAAGTACATAGGAAAGTTCCTTGATTCTAACTGAGATCAGTTTGGTCTATCCTTCCCAGGAAACTTTGCTTCTAATTTCCTGATTGACAGACAGGACAACTACCAACAAAACAAGTTTCAAGAGGTGGAGGAAGAGGTGACTAAATATCTATCTGCATAGAGAAAACAGGAGATGCTTCCTCAGCAAAGGGGAATCTATTTGAGGAGGCAGTGGCTCATTAGTCTCCAGAGGACCATGCCCACTGCTCCTATGTACAGTGATACATCTGGCAGAGCTGTTAACAATTCATAAACCACTTAGTGAGCATTTGCTCTGTGCCAGACCTCATGCTCAATGAGGCGAATTCAGATAAAACATGGTTCCTGCCCATAATCAGACACACCCTAGTAAAGGAGACTGACAAATAAATACATGATCAAAATACACTACATAAAGTGATGAGGGGAGATATGCAAAGGGTGCCAGCAATGTTTTGAAAGTCAGGAGATTTGCTACTGTCCCTGTTTCTGGTGGGAAGTGGGGAAGGTTTCAAAAAGAAGCCCTGATCAAGAACATTTGCTTGCCTGTAAACTGTCTTCCTCAGACCCTAAAGGTATTATAAAGTTCTTATTTTTTAAAACTGCAATGTCATTCTGTTTTCCCATATCAGTGTGAGTTCCTTCTATTTTCCCTCAAAACGAGCTAGCTCATCAAAGAGGAAGCACAAGTATGCACCGGGCAGGGGAAAGTCTGGAGAGTAGGGGCACCAAAGAGCAGCAAGAGAGGACTAGAGGGTCAAGAAACCAAATCAGGGAGAAGGCCACAACCTCCCCTCTCTAGCAGTTTGGTTCTTCTCTTATGCACTAAATTATAAGGAAGAGAGAAGGCAAAAAAGGGACCAAGAGGCCGTGGAGGGAGTTAGATGAGAACATGAAGCTGGTGAGAGATACTTTGTAGGCCTTACTGGGAGGGAAGCCTGCCAGGAGGGGGGCAAGTTCCCACAATGGGAAGGGAGTATGTTCATGGATGAGCTGAGATAAATTAGTCCCTATAGGGAAGGCTTCTCTCACATGGGGGCTTCCTATCGTATTGGCTTGGGGAATGGCGGAGCCTGTGAGGCGGGTGGGGGGTGGGTAGGCTGTCAGAAAAGGGAAGGTTGGAGTTAAAGGCTCTCAGAGTTGAAAAGGTTGTAAGGTTTGAGAGGGCGCTGTCGGAGCTGGGAAGGGAACTGTCAAGGAGGTGAGGAGTTGCTGTCCGGGTTCTGGGCACTGTCAGGGACGGGGGTGGTGTGGGGACGGTGACTTCCAGGCTGCGAAGAGCTGAGGGCGAGAGTGCTACGAGGCAGTCGGGAGGCTTCGGGGTGGGAGTTGGGGTTTGCCAGGGCTGTGAGGCTAGGTGTCCGGAGGTCAGGGCTGGGAGGGGAACTGGGTGCACCGCAGGTTGGCAGACGCAGTTTCCGCAAGGCCAGAGGCAGGGGAGGAGCTCCTGTCAGGAGCGAAGGCTGGGCGGGACTCACCTTGGCGGCGTCTGACAGCTGCACCAGCAGCAGCACGGAGAGCGCCAGGCACGACAGGCTGAGCAGGGAGCCGAGCCGAAGGAGGCCTCCCCACAGAGTCGCCATTGCTGCCAGGCCCGGCCGTCCCCACTGCCCGGAGCCCCCGAGACCTGCTCCGGGGTCGGGCTCAGGTTCGGGATCCGGCTCGGGATCCTCCACCCGCACTTCCGTCTGGGCCTTCGCGTCACCAGTGCGCCGGGTCAGATGCAAAAAGCATCCGCCCCGGAAACGGTTCCCGGTGCGAAAGGGCCCGGAGACTGCGCCGTTCGGGCCTACACTCGGCTCCGGAACGGAAGGGGGCCTCTCTGGGGTGGCAGCGTGGGCCCAGCAGAGCTCTGAGGCCCTTGGATGTCTTCCCCGGGCGCGGAAGCCACGAGGGTTTATGGAGCCGCCATTGCGATGCAAAGTCCTTCCACCCAGAGAGACCCCAGCGAACTCCGGACGTCACACGGGGGACTCCAGCTGCCCTTGAAAGGCCGGAGCCGTTCGATGCCAGACCCATCCCGGCCGGCGCTGGCAGGGGTGCTAACCGTGGAGACGGGACTAGCCGAGCCATACCTTTCCGGGGAGCCCACCCCCAGTCAGAGGGTCGGGGGTCGTCTCTGCACTTTAGGTACTAACCTGCCGCCCACGTGCCTCCTGGACACAACTCCCCGCTGGGTTTCTAACAGTCTCTGTGAGCTGCCCTCGTGGGTGTGGCCTCCCCTTGGTCCAGCCTGCAGCTAGGAAGTGGGTCACAGCGGCGGGGCTAGGCTGGCCCGGCCCAGGCCAGGCTCCGGAAGATGTGGAGTTGGGAAAGAACCGCCCCGGTAGTATCCTCCGCCCAGAACTCCAGGAGGTGGGGAATCAGGGCGCTACGCCCTGGCGAGGCAGTGCCTATTCACGGCGGCTGACCCCTAACTCAGAGTTAGGGGAGCACTTCACCAGTCTTCGTAGGGCTGTCACTCTCTGTCGGTACAATGGAAGTATCCTGGAGATGGCATAATGTTTCCTATTAAAATATTTTTCAGTTAGTGGAGACAGTGGAGGTAGTGGAAAGGATTCAGGGCTCATCACAACCAGTAGTGATTTGCTGAATTACCTTGGGCAAATCACTTCCCTTTTCTAGGCCTCTGGGTCTTAGCTTAGTAAGGGGATTGAACTCTGTGGATTTCAAATTCTGTTCTCTTGTAATATCCGTGTTTCTTCCTCTGAACAGATTTTTAAAGATAAATCTTTTCCTAGTTTTTGGAAATGTTTCAATTAACAGAATTTTCTCAGTATTTTTTTTCCATGTGATTCTTATTGATGCTAGAATCTAACACAAGAAGGTGTCTGATGTTGCACCAAGTATATCTTAGCCCCTTTCAGTCCCAAATGGCAAGTGGTCCCCAGCCCCAACCAGAACCGGAGCGGCAGGGCTAGATGCCGTCTCACCAGGCTGCCCTGTGAAGATGCTATCACTTTGGTGAATTTTCAAGTCTTTGTAGTGGGTGTCCTGCTGGCCAGAGGACAGTCTGGAGACACTCTGGGTCAAATGTGTCACTGAGGCACTGTGGATCTGATTGTTCAAAGCTGATGCAGCAGCAAGTTAGGGATCAGTTTAGGGTTGTCTAGGTCTGGTATCTAGAGGAAATGCTCACTCTTTGGCTGAAACTTCATGGGCCTTCTCTTCCTTCTTCAGAATTATTTTCAAGGCCTTGATTGGGGGTACAGAGGCTTAGAGGAAATATGTAGTAATGCCTTAGTCTGATGGGCCTCATCTTTTAATGGAAAAACACTAAGTACACTTAGTCTTGGCAGAATTTTAGTGCTGCACTATCAAGTACAGTAACCACTAACGACATGGCAATTGAGCATTTGAAATGTGGCTAGTGTGAACTGAGATATGCTGTAAGTATGAAATATACAGTTTTTCAAAAACTTAGTATATATAAAAAAGCAAAATCTCAATAATTTTAAAACATCGAGGTTTAAATATTTTTGATACATTGGGTTAAATAAAATACATTATCAAAATGTTTCACTTGCTTTTTATTTCTTAAATGTGGCTACTGGAATATGTTATATTGATACTAGGCAGCACTTTTCTAGAATACAGAATGTGGCTACCATGAGTGTAGTGTAACTATAAAATGGTTGCTTGACTGGAGACTGAATGAAGGTTCAGGCCAAGGTAAGGAGAGGAGAGACAGGGAAGCACTGGTACAACTAGAGTCAAGGGTTTGGGGAGGTATATGTTTGCCAAAAAATGAATGTGATTTCAGGTGACTCAGTAGAAGTGGAGGGGTCGGTTCCTCTTGTTCTGCCATGCTCATCCCTACATAACTTACTTTTCCTTTAGGTCAGAGGTCGTCTAAGCCAGAAAGCCTTCCCTAACTTAAACACAGTCCTTCTGTGTGTGTGCATATCTCCTTCCTAACCTTACCCCATTAAGCTAAAATTATGTTCTCTTATCTGCCTTTAAACTCCCAACCTTCACCAAAATACTGTGAGCTCTTTGAGGGTAGGGACTTTGTCTTACTATCTTTATACCTGGAGACTGAGATCAAAACAATATATGTTTGTAGGGACCAGGGAAAGGAGAATGGGAGAGGCTCCTCTGGTCAATCTCAAAGAAAAGTATCAGGCACCTACTTGAATCCTTATTTGATTTCTGTTTTTTTTTTTTTTTTGAGACAGGGTCTCGCTCTGTGCCTAGGCTAGAGTGCAGTTGCATCATCATGGCTCACTGCAAGCTCAAACTGGCTCAAGTGATCCTCCTGCCTCAGCCTCCCGAGTAGCTGGGACTATAGGTGCCATGCCCAGCTATGTTTTCTATTTTTTGTAGAGATGGGGTCTCACTCTTGCTCAGGCTGGTCTTGAACTCCTGGCCTCAAGCGATCCTCCCACGTTGGCCTCCCAAAGTGCTAGGATTACAGGCATGAGCCACCATGCCTGGCCCTTATTTGATTCCTTTCTGACCATGACAGATGATGCTGAGATGCCCAAAGAAGTGCAAATGGTGGGATCTAGGTCACCATAGTAGGCAGGGGATAAAAGATTTCTGATCTAGGGTCTTCCTAGACCTTCAGGTCGTATCAGAGTTGTTCTACTTATAGACAGAGTGGTCTTACACAGTACCCACTCTTCTGTCCCTTTTCCTTGCTTCCCTGTAACTAGGTTTCCCTGCTCCATTCCTCTAAAGGAGTGGCACAGATCCAGGTGTACCCTCCCACATGACCTGGGTTCTCTTCTTTGTGAG